CTCCACTCCGTGTTTTTGTATATTTAGGAATATAATTTTTTGAATTTATGAAACGTTCTGTTAGAAACCGATAATGTGGACTACTTTAAACTGGCGCTATAACAATGGAGGATTCAGATATTTTGTCATTGGAGGAGAAAAACAACTGATCTGATGGAGACAAACAATCTGATGTGCAATTCGCACTTGAACTGCAATGAATACTTCAGTGAGCAACGAAAAAAACTGACCAAGTCCGATGGTTGTTAATGAGACAAAGCAATAATAAATAGCATCTAAAAATGTCCAATCCTTTTCGATTTGAGTGAAAATATACGACGGAATCAGCAGAACAAACACAAGCAGTAATGCACTCACGAATCCCAAGTGGAATAGCTGCAAATAAAAATTCGTTGAAATATCCTTTAGATTCACATTGAATTGTTCTTTTGCAGATCACACAAATGTCAATAATTCACATCGAAATATTGCGGAATTTCTTATGAAACAATTGGAAGCACAATGTTAACAGCGCTGAAAACGTATCCGTTGACAGTGCGAGAGATTCTTGCCCAAAAAATTGGTCTCGATGAAGGGTGACTGCTAGGAGCATCGTCGAATGTATAACCTACCTGTATTTGACCAGCATGAAACAGATGTCCAAGACGTGCGTTCAGTTTGCCACGTAGCCACGCACTTGGCTGTTTCAATCGAGCCACCAGGGCGGATAAAAGTGCTAGCGTTAGCGGGATTCCCACAACGCAATAAATTATTGTAAAGAATTTACCCGCAGGCGTTCGAGGTGTCATTGTACCGTATCCTATAAATGATTTCATTACTTATCAAGCTATTTTTTGATACATCAATGCAAAATGATCTCGTTACATATGGAATTGCTCTTTGATACAACAATAGGCTCATCTCCGTAGGCATTCCATGTGAACTTCAAGGTACCGGTACCCTCAGGTTTGCCCGGTAACATATGAATTTCTTTGCAGCATTCAATTGCTCAGAATCTCTACTTTCAGAAAAACATATATTTTGCCGAGCGATTTTGCTTTCTTGAAGAGATATAGCTATTTTCTCAAAGATATACGGTTTGCCATTTATATCCAGCGCATACTAGCGATCAAAATCTGGTATTTAGAGGTGAGAAAGAGTCATTTTGTAAGAATGCGAATAGAATCTTACCAACAGTACTTATGAGAGCACCAGCGAAGAAGAATGCTTGTCCGAATCCCCAATTCGGCTCATTCGTAATATTTTTCTCAGTCCAAATTCCTTTGAGAGCCATCACTCGAATATCAGCAAACAGTTGATCTATATCCCTTTCTGAAACAACGATTCCTTATCATCCTCGAACTGTCATAAGACTGCTTATCCGGCGTGTACTCGTTAAATGAAAATCTTAATTCAGGCCTGTCAAAAATGAACGTCTCTTAAATCAGCCGCTACACCAATGCTTCAATCTATCATATTTATTCAGTTCCATAAACTGAGCTTTACGTTTAGCTGATAAACTTGTTCTTATGAACATTGA